GTAATAATTTATAATTTGAATAAATAAAAAAATAATTGTATATATTTATATATAAATAAATTTTTCTTATAACTATAAATTTTATAATTTTATTGAAAAATTGAAATTATATAAATATTTAGTTATAGCAGATATGATAGTTAATTTTTTTATGTTTTTTGACTAGTTTAAATTTTTTACAATATTTTAATTTAAATATATGCATATATATATATATATATTTATTTATATATATATTTATTTATTATAATACTTTATTACTATTGTATAAAGTTTGAAATTTTTATTTTTACTTTAAATTTTTTTAAGATAATTAATATTTTTTGTTTTAAATAAAATTATATCTAATTTTTTTTTTATTTTAAATAAAAAAAAATATTATTTTCAAATTAAATTTTATATTAAAAAAATTGTGTTTAATATATAATTTTTTTATTTAAATATCTAAAATAATCAAAAGTTTGTAAATTTTTTTATTTAATTACAAAAATAAATTTAAACTAAGAAAATATATTTTTAAAAAATATTATTTTTTATTTATTTTCAAAAAAGTTTTTTTTAAAATAAGTTTAATATTAAAAACTATTTTTTTAAAATATTACCAATAAAAATAAATCTCAAAATTATATTTAAAATAATATACATATGATTATATCATTTCTCATTTAACAAAATATAATCAAAAAATTTACTTAATCTATTTTACTGCATCAAATTTTTTTATTATTTTTTTAATTAATTATAGATTTAAAATTTTTATAAGAAATTAATATTATTTCTTTAAAGACTATTTTGTATAGGTATTACTAATAAAGCGACTTATTTCGATGTTTTTTTTATTATTTAGATTCTTCAGTAATAACTAATTATTTTTAACTAAAGCTTTATTTATTTTTCTAATTTTTCAACTTTTGAAGTTATTTGATTTAATAACTCTTAAGTAAGTATTTTTATATCTGATGTTAACCTTTTTAATTTAGTTATAAAAAAGAGTCATTATAAAAATATTTACATTTTAATATTTTTTCACAAATAAAATATCTTTATTTAATGTTTTGTTTTAAAATAATAGATTATATTGTCAAAAAATTTATTATATTTCAAAATCTTCTTTGTTATATTAATTTTACAATATATAATTTTAATGTTCTTTCTGCTTTTTTTGTATTTTAAAGTAATTTAGGTTTTAAATTTAATATTTCTATAAACATTTTTATTCTATATAAAATATAGCTATTCATAATTATTTTAGTTTGGAGTATTTTTTTTTAATAAAAATTATTTTTATATAAATATAAATATATTTAATTTACATAGTATATATAATATATTACTTAATATTATATGACATAATTAAATAATATATATATATATGATTACATTTAAATTTATAAAAATTTATTAAATTATTAATAAATTTTATTTAATAAAATAAAGTAAATTATTTATATAATTTTATTTTAAGAGTTATTTTTTCCTAATTTAAATATATATTTTATTACTCATTTTTATTTTTTAAAATATTTTTTTTATATAAAAATAAGAGAATGAATACATTTTTAATAATAATATAACTTTAATATTGTTCAAAAATAATAATAAAATAAAATATAATATTAATAATAAAAAATAAAAAATAAACAATATAATTATTATTTATAAAAGTAAAATATAAAAATGAATGAAATAAAAAAATCAAAAACTTTTAATCAATGAATAATTGTGTTTTATTTACTTCTTATTGAGCAAAATTAGAATATACTTTGTCCATTATTATTTAATTCTGTATTTGCTCTAATCCTATTATATTCAATAAGATTATTAATAACATTATACTCTTTAGGAAGTTAGTCAATTGGAAAAATAGGCAAATTGCTATTATCTTCTCTATCAACGTCATTATCATCATAATCTTCTTCCTAATCTTCATTAATAACTTTTTATTCATAATTAGATTTTAAGCTACTTTTTCCACTCAAAAAAAAAGGTTTCATAGGCATACTCTAAGAATAACAACGACTTTTTAAAATTTTAAAAAAATAAAAAAAACATTTAAATTAAATTTACATATTATAATCATCATCTAATTATTATTATGGTTCTTCTAAGAAAAAATTATTATCTTATCCTGATAAAACTTTTTATGGTCTATTTTTATAATAATTTTTAATTTTTTTAATTATTTTACAGAAGTTTAGGGCAAGCAGGAGGTTTATCAAATTAATAAACATATTCTTAATAATTCATTGAAGAAAAATATCTTGAACGGTTTGGTGTATTTTAATCATGTTCATTTAGACTTTTACGCTAATTATTTTATAAATCTAACAGATTTTAATCATGAAGTTAAAATTGGTTTGTATTTTAATTATCCATTTTACTTTTTTATTTTATTTTTGTTTGTTTATATTTATTTATTTAATTATAATTTTTAATATTAATATAAAATATATATAAACATATAAACATATAAATATATAAATATATAAATATACATTTATTTATTTTTCATATGATTTTTTTATAATTTAATACTACTATTTTTTCTTTTTAAAGTTTGACATAACAAGTTTTAATATGAATTATTATATTATATTATTTTTATTATATTAAAATTATTTTTTTCATTTACCCATTAAATTTTTTTTATTATAAAAATTATAAATATATATATGTAAATGTAACATTTATTTTAATTTGTTAAAATAAATATAAGAAATTTAATTAGAAAAAAAGAATTAAAATTAAATTTTAATTTGTATTTCTATATTTTTTTTTTTTTAATATTTATAAATTTAATTTTTAATTTTATATTTTTATATTTTAATATTCCTTCTTTTATTTGGTTTATATCTTTAATTTTATATGTATTATTTTTTCAGCTTATAACTTAATTCTCTTTTTATATTTAATTTTTTTTTAAAAAAATCAATATATAGTAATTTAAATAAATAAATTAAAAAACAAGAATTTATAATTTATGAATAATATCGTATTATCATTTTTTATTAAAAAATTTTCAATAGAAAAATTTAAAAAATTATTTTATAAAAAATATATTTGAAAATTTTTAATTTATTAAAAATCAAAATTATAATATATAATAAATTTACATTCTTCCATTAATTATAAAATAAAATATTTTGATATGTATGTTTATATATATTTAATTAAAATATTATAATAATTAATAACTATTATTAATTTCTAAATAAATTTATTATGATTTATTTTAAAATAAAATATTTTTTTAAAAGTTAATTTTTATTTATTAAAAATTTTAAATTATAAAATAATTATAAAGTTTTTTAATAATTTATATATATTTTTATAGTTTTTATTTTTATATAGAGAATAATTTTTTTAAATTTTTAAATAAATATTTTAGTTTAATTTTATATAAAAATTTAATTAATTATTTAAATTAAATAATTATATATATATAATATAAATATAAATAAATTTTAAAATAAAAAGAAATAATATATTTCTAAATCAATAAATCTATGTTATTATTTTAGAATATATTTTATTTAGATTGGTAAATACATATCTGCCTTTAATAAAATATTTAAAAAAATAATTTTTAGTAAAGTTAAAAAAATAAATAAATATAAAATATTTTCTCATAATTTTAAAAATGGTAAAAAATAATTAAAAATCAATTAAATATAATATAAATATATAAAGGACATTCCAGAATAAATTATAATTAAGAATTTAAAAAATCTATAAAAATAAATAAATGAAGAAGAATAAGATGATTAAATTTTTATATAAAATTTAAATGAGGAGGAATTGATTTTGTAAAACATATAATTATGGAAGGAATATATTAAAGAAAATAATACAAAAACAAATAAAAATTAATTAAATTAAAAATAATTGAATAAATAAATTAGAAATTAAAAGCGATATGAAGAGTTTTTAGAAAAAATAATTAATTTTTAATGCAAAAGAGTATTAAAATAGAACAATAGAAAATTATTCAAGAAAAAAATTTTGGAAAGCATATATTCTAAACCATAAATAAATAATGTTTCGAAATTAATTTGTTAATAGAATTAATATTAAAAGAATAATTTGTATGATAGAAATATAGAATACAAAAAAAAATAGAAAAGTAAAATAATTATTTTAATTATTTAAAATATTTAAATGAACTTGAATAATGTACTTATATGCCTAACTTAAATATATAATCACAAGAATATAGAAGTGCAGATGATTTTTTTAATTAATAAATATAATGGAAATAAAAAGTATAATCTAAAATATAAATATAAGCTGAAGAAAAAAAGATAGAAAATAATCAAGTTCTTTCAATTAATAAAAAAACTAAATCAAAAATACATTCTTAATAAAATTTTGTGGATAGATTTTCGGATGATATGAAATCTAGAGTAATTAAACTCAAGAAAATTTAAGAAGAAAATACCCCTTCTTTTAAACCTTTTTGTTATGAAAGTGTAAGATATAAAGGATAGACTAAATGAAACAAAAAAAAATATAATGCTTTTATTTATTATATAAAATAATTTTAATTAAAAATATATTTAACTGTTTTAAATAATTATATTTATATATTAAATTTAATATTTTTAAATAATTTTATCAATAATTTATTAATAAAATAATTAATTTAAATAATTTAATTATTTTAATTTTAAATATTTAATTTTTTTTTTTTTTAACAAAAAAACAAAAACAAAAACCAAAACATCATACAAATTTGTATTTTTAAAAATAATAATAATATTTAAAATAGACTATTTTATATAAAATAACATTTGATTTTTAAAAATTATATAACTATTGTATTATTTACATAATAAATTTAATAAAAAAATCAAATATAGATGTATGTTTATAAAAAGCATTTGTAATATAAAATATAATATAAATAAAATAAATAAAAAGAAATCAAAGCAACATATAGTAATTTATTTAATTATATATATTTATATCTATATCTATTTCTATGTAACATTTATGCACAATCAATTTCCTTCATTAGCATAACCAGAACATAATAATTAATAAAACTCTGAATACTCAATTTCGCCTGATCCATCTTCATCAACTTCTTTAATAAGTCCTTCAATGTCAATAGTCATCTAAAATTTTTAAAGTTATTTTTTAAATTTTTTAAATTTTTTTTTTTTTTTTTTTTTTACTAACTTAAAATTCTTCTTTAACGATTCTTATTAGTTCAACTGCATCTACTTTTCCGGATTTATCTGCGTTTCCTCCCATAGCTACAAATGCATCTAATGTATCTTAGTCGTCTTAACTTAAATTTTTATATTTTAATTTATAATATATAGCTAGAAAATCTGAAAATTTTATTTAACCAGTATTTTATTCATCAACTTCACTTATCATTTTAAATAATTCTTCTTCCTTTAATTAGCATCCTATATTATCCAAAGCTAATTTTAAGTCGGAAACATTTATAGATCCTAAACCATCTTCATCATAATCAGAAAATGCTTTTTGACAAAATTAAATGTCATCTTCGGATAAATTCATTGTTTATATTTTTTGTTTATGCTTTTGGTTTTTTTTTTTTTTTTTTTTTTTTATTGAATTTTATTGAATGAATTATGTTTTTTGTTAAACAATGAAAATTAATTAATTTATATATAACAATAATTTTTTTATTATAGAATAAATATAGAAATTTAATTTAAAGCTTACTCTAATTAGATATACAATATAACATAACTTTTAAATAAATATACGCATATATTATATATTTAATATAGATATTAATATCTAATATATTGAATTTAATTCTTAGTATTATAAAATTATTTATATTTAAAGTAGATAATATCAGGTAATTTTATAATTTAAAAAAATATAAAATATTATAAATTAAATCTATAATAAAAATATATTTATAATTATATACTCTATTATTTTATTATAAATTTTTTAAAATATATAACTAAAATAAATCAAAAAATAATTTTATATATAATCATTTTTCTATGATAAATCATTTTTCTTTATATGATGAATAAATATTTAAGCCAACAAAAAACATGGCGAAATCCTTAAAAAATAATTAGAGAAAATGACCTAAATAAGTAAAGAAATTATTTTTAAAAATCTAGAATTCTGTAAAAGCATAAAATATCGTTATTATTATATAATATAAAAGAAAAATAAATTTGAAATTCTTAATAAGCATAAAAAGCATAATTTTATAAGTTTTTAGAATAAAATAATATTGAAAAATACTCGATATATATATATAGTATATCTAAAAAACATCTAAAGTTTGGAAAATATATATTGATATAATATGGAATACAAAGGGCATTCCATGAATATTTTATTGCCTAAAAAATGATATTAAGAGGTCTTTTTGCAAAAATATATATAGGAATAAATTATACACATATTTTTTAATAACAATTTCATAAAATTTATAAGAAGTTAGTATAAAAGAAAAAAAATGTTAAACAAAATTTCTATAATAAGAAATATTTAAAATGAACATTTAGTAAATCAATATGAAATTTATGAAACTTGAGATTCTATTTATTTAAAATATATATATTGTCAATGGGCTAGTGTGCTAATAAATTATTATTGTTCCTGAGATTTTATTTTATTAAGCCTTAAACAGTTATGAGAAAATTATTTTCTTAAAAAACTAATAATTTATATGATTTTAGTGAATGAGGGGAGGGGATATTAATTGAATTCCGATAAAAAAATTGGAAAATTTTATAAAATTTAGAAAGGGTTTAAAAATCCAGAAATAAAAATATAGATAAAATAAATTACGAGAAAATTGGTTTAAGCAAAAAATATTAAATAAAAAATTAAAAAAATAATTTTTCTTTGGAGAAAATTTTTTTTATTAAGATTTTTCTTTTTTATTAATAAATATTGCTAATTTTTTTTTTTTTTTTTTTTTAAAAAAAAAAATCAATAATATATATTTTCCGGATGAGCAGGAAGTATTTTTCCACTACATTCACCAAATCCAATTCTTACACTTTTTATTTAAAATAAAATATAAATAAAAATTAAATTAATTAAAAACCCGTTTTTTTCAGCCCAACCTTTCATAGTAATAGTATCTCCATCTTAAATAAAAGTTCTTTCTTATCCATTAGAAAGTTATATTTTTTCTTAACCTGACCAAGATAATTCAATCATTGAACCAAATTCATGCTTTTCAGTTCCTGAAATAGTTCCTGAACCTAAAAGATCTCCAGGATTCATAATACATCCAGTAACACTATGATGTGCCAATTATTAAGTAATACTCCAATAAAGGTATCTTTTTTTAATTGATAAAAAAATGAAAATATATATATATTTAAACTTAAAATTGCTTCTAGTAATTCTATCTTAATTTTAAGCATTTTCAGGTTATAAATAAACATCTAAGAAAATATCATAAGAGCAATGTTTTTTTTCATTCAAATAAGGAAAGGTTCGGGATCTTATTTAGGCAAATCAATTTTGAAAGATTCTAAAGCATCCAAAGTAACTACCCAAGGGGAAATTGTAGTTCCGAAGTTTTCAGCTAAAAATGGACCTAAAGGTACATATTCCCAATTTTAAATATCCCTTGCACTCCAATCATTCATAAGGACAATACCGAAAATGCGATTTTCAGCTTCATTAACATTAATAGGTTCCCCCAGCTATTTTATTTTTATTTTATGATTTTTTAAAACTAAAAATTATTTTATTTTATATTTTTTACTTTATTAGGTTTTCCTCCAATAAAAGCTCCTATTTCAAGTTCAAAATCTAGTCTTTTGCATTCTGTAAAAGAAGGCTTTTCTGCTGTTGGAGCTTTAGTTTGACCTCTAGGACGATGAATTGAAGTTCCTGAAACTACAACAGTGGATGCTCTTCCATGATATCCAACCTAATTTTAATATTTATATCTTTTAAAAATAAAAATATATATAAAGTAACAGGTAAATGGGTCCAATTAGGTTACAAAGCATTATCTTTTCCTCTAAACATAACTCCGATATTATATGCATGATTTTTAGATGAATAAAAATCTGTATAATCTTAAATGTGTGCTGGTAAATGCATAATAATATCATTTATGTGGAAAAAAAGCTTTTTTCTTAATTCGAGATTCTTATCTAATTCTGAACCTAAATGTAATAATTATTAGATTGTTTTACGAACTTCTCTCCAATCAGATCTTGTCAATGACATGAAGTCGTTTAGAGTTCTTGATTAAAATATTTTTCGGTTTAAAGATTTATATTGTTCGCCAATTAATAAATTGTTTATTTCCAATTCCCTTAAGTCTATTAAATAATCACCTTTTTTTTTTATGTTTTTTTTTTTATTTTTTGTGGTGGTTTCTTTTTTTTTACCTACTCGGGTTGCAGGACGGGCATCTTCAGGGTCTTTTTTAGTTGAAAATACTCCAAAAGGTATATTATGATATGTAAAATCAGTATCTGAAGGAAATTAGAACCAGGTTTAGTTTATATTTTCCATTTTCTTATTTATTTGATTTTTATTTTATTTTTTTTTGGTTTAATAAAGAAAAAAATTATGTAATTTTTTTTTTTTTATAATTTTTTTTTTTACTTCTTAACAAGTTTTTATATTATTATTTTTACATTAATTTGCTTTTATTTTTAATAAAAGATGACAAACTATAATTATTTGGACATATATATATAGCATTTTTTTTATTTATATTTTTTGGTTAATTAAATATATTATCTTTCCTTTTATATATAATTAAAATAAAATATCTAAATTAATATATTTAATAAAAATATATATTCAAAAAAAAAAAATGGAATCAAGAATTTTTTAAGAGAAAATTCATTTTTTTGAACATTTTGCAATTTAATAATTTCAAGAGTAAAAAATTAAACCAAAAAAAACAAAAGTAATATATTTATTTATTTTTTTAAAAAAAAGATATTTAAAAGGCGCTTATTATTATTTAGTAAACATAATATTTGATAAATTTTTAAGTCTAGTAAATTTTCGTTACTTCAAAGATGAAATTTTATTAATATTTGAAAATATTATATAAATATATTACCTTAAGAAACATAATGCGACATATGCAGAGTTCTTTTATAATTACAAACGTGAAGATATAAAAAATAATTTAACATTTAAAAACAAAAAAGCTTTAGTTTTATTTTTTACAACAATATTTCCATATATAATCAATAAACTAGAAAAAAAATACCTATAATTGAAAACTTTATTATAAAATTAGGAATAAATATCATTTTCATAATAAATATATTTAAAAATGTATCCACTTTTCCATTTATTTTTAAATTTAGTGAATTTCATTTACAATACAAAATACTTGCTTGATCCAAATTTTAATTATTATACATTTGATTTTCATGTTTTAAATTAAAAATTAGTGCGTTTACAAGAATAAAAATAAAATAATTAAAATATAATTTATTTTAATGAATTTTTAAAAAAATATTTCATTTTTGGTTTATTTTTATCCACAAAAGCCCTTGAATGGTATTATAGGGGAAATAATAATTAAAATAATTAAAATTTTAATAATAATGTTTTGGTAAAACCACCTTTTTTGAATAATACAAATTCTATTGCAAGTTAATATTGTCCTATTTGTAAATCTTTGATTAAAAATCCTGCTGTTTTAGCTTCTAGTGGATTTGTTTTTTGTTATACTTGTGTATTTGAACATGTTAAAGATAATAATTGTTGTCCAGTTACATAAGTTAATTCAAATATTAAATAAATTCATAAAATATTCATATAATAATGATTATTATAATATAATAAAATGAAATTAATTTATTTTATATTTTTTTTGTAAATAATATTAATTTTTTATTTTAATATAAATATTTATGATTTGATTTTTTTTTTGATTAAAAAATATATATATATTCTTTATTTTATAAAACTTTTTTTTTTTTTTTTTTCAATTAAATTTTTTATCAATTTTAATATAAATTAAATTAAATTAAATATGAAATATATTATATTTAAATTAGCAAAAAAATCGTATTTTCATTTCTAATATAATTAAAATTAATTTTTTTAGTAAATTAAACAAAATAAAAATCAAATATAAATTATTTTTTAATATAATTTAGTAAAATTTATCATTTTTATTAATATTTATTTTTATATATATATATTTTTTTTAAAAAATTTAAAAAGAAATAATATTAATTAATCATTCAAGAGATATGAAAAAACAATCATTAAATTCATTTGTTATATCTTTTACGATTCTGATAATATTCCTTATTATTTAATCATCACTCTAGTTAGCCATTTATATTAGTTTAGGCAAGAAATCTTGTTTTATTTATTTCTATATATAAAAATTTAATCTTTTAATTAAAAAATAAGTTTTGCCCTTAAAAATAGTTTAAAAGGGATGGTCATATATAGTATAATTTATATATTATAGTTTAAGATCATCTTTTAAAATATTATCATAAAATAATATTTTTTGGTTATAATTTTCTTTAAAATAATTTAAATTGCTCTATTATATTTTATAATAACTTAAATTATCTCTTTTTACTAAAAATAATATTTAATTATTAGTAATACAAAATCCATGCTTTTTTTATCCAAAAAAATTACTATTTTTTTAATAATATATATGATGTCCTGGTTTTATACCTTTTAAATTTTATTTTTTTAATATATAAAGATTTATATTATATATACATTCCAGCTTATCTTCTAAAGGCCAAAAAAGATTTATCTAACTTTTAAATTCTATATTATTATCCCAAAAGTTATGTATTTAAATTTTATAATTTTATTTAATCGATTATATAATAGAGCTATTGTATAAAAATAAATAGAATTAATTTTTATTTTTTTTACTATAAAGTTTAATAGCAATCTAAATTCTAAAAATCCTGCCATAAATGCTATATTTTATAAATGAACTTCTAGAACTTAATATTAAAAAGAATTTCGTTATTAATTAGAATAATAAATTTCAATCTATTTATTATTATTAAGGCTTTCCTAAACTATCTTTATCCTTTTAGTTCTACTTCTGTTATTAATGTAACTTCTAGTAATTCTAATAATATTATTTTTTATTTGTCTTGTAATATTAGTTTATTTTAATTTTTTTCTTCAATTTGCAATTCTTCATCATTGTATTATTAATTTAGTTTTTGTAAATTTGTTAGAATTACTTTTGGTTCTTATATGTAATGTTAAAGTAAAGCATCGTATTAATCATATTCTATTTAGGTAAAAAAGAAGTAGTTTTCATCTATATTTTCTGTATTGATGTTTATAAAAAGAGTTTTTTATTAATAATCTTCATATTAAACTAAATGAGAAATGTCAAAACTAAATAAAACTTCGTTTTCTTTTTCAAAATTATTTACTGTAAATAAATATAGTTTTTCCATTATTATTTCTAAAAGTAATTATTTTTATTTATATATATCCATTTCTATTTTATTGGTTGTTTTTATATTTATTTATTTAATTATTTTTTTTTTTTTAAATTATATATTATATTATTATTAATTTTTGTTTATTTTGTGGATTATTAAGAGAATATTTTAAAATTATAAATTCATTAGTAAGAAAATATATTTAGTATTAAAACACATTATTATACAAAATAAATATGTATTATTTTAATTTATAAATATTACATTTTTCAATTTATAGTAACTATAACTTTTTTAACTATATAAAAAAAATATAATTCAATAATTTAAACGTTTTATAGTGAAAAACATTTATAATTTATAAATGCTTATTTTATAAATTTTTATATACAAATAATTTAAATAATATATTTAAAAAAAAAATTATTTATTTTGTTTATTTTTTATAGTAATACTTTATTTTAACAATAATAATAAATAAATGATATTATATCTATTTTTGCATTTTATTGTTGATTTATTTTTTAATATAAATTAAAAAGAAAATGACCAAATAATATTTTAAGTATATTTTTTTCTTATGATTAAAGTAATTATTTTTTTCATATGATTATATTAATTATAATTAATATTTTTAATATAATAAATCTTAATTTTTTTCTTCATTATCTTCAGAAATAATTTTGATTAAATATTATATTTACTGCAATTATTGATGTATTTAAAAATTTTTATAAAAAATTATTTTATGTCAATATTATATAATATACATTATAAAAGATTCATTTTTTTATTTTATATTATTTATTTTATTGATTTTTTAAATTATATTTATTTATCATTTTTTTATATATTTTTTCTTTTTTTTTAAATCTATTTTTTTTGTTGATATTATTGTTTTTAAAAATAAATTACAAAAAAATAGCACTTATCATATTTAAATTTAATATTTAATATATATTTATTTATAGGATTTTAATTTTATATTTTTCTATAAAATATATTTTTTAAATATAATCTTTTTTTCTAATATAAAGTTTAAAATTAACAAAGAATAAAATATAAAATTATTAATATTTTTTATACATAAAATTATATAACTTTATATTTATTATTTAATATTTTATATTATTAATAACATTTATTCTTTATTTTTATAAATTTAATTAATTAAATAATTTTATTATATTTAATTTTTGAAACAATTATATTATATTTAGTTTTGAAAACAATTATATTATATTATATATTATATTATAATTTATTTTACTATTAATTATTTATTATACTTATAAATAATATTTAGCTTTTTAATATTTTTATTTTATTATAACCTTTTGTAAACAAAATATAAATAGATTTAAAAATAATAATATTTTATTAATGGCTATAATAACTACATATAATTCTTAATATAATTTTTAAATAATTAAAAAAAGGATTCACCTTATAAATATTATTCAATTGTAAATACAAGAAAAAAGTTTTTTAAGTATAAAAAAAAATTTATATATAAAAAAGAGTTTATTTTGTATTTTTTTATATAAAAATATTATTATTTTTGATAAAAATTAATACATTTTTTTATTTATACTTAATAATTATATTAATCTATTATATTTTCTTATGTAAATTTTATTTCTATAAATTAAAAATATTGATTCTATGATTTTTCTACTTTTATGTATTAAAATATTAATTAACAAAATTATTATTATTTAAAAAAGTTAATAAATCATAAATATCAAGTTATAATAAAGAAAAAAATATTTTAACTTTTTTCGAATATAATTTAGGATTATATATTCCATTTAGTTATATTAGTGTTTGCTATAATAATAATCAATTTTATCTTTATAATTTACATCAATTTCTTTATATTTATATATTTATTATTACTTATAAAAAATACCTATTGTATAATAATTATAATTGGCTCTTTTTTTATTTCTAGATTATATATTTTACTATAATCTATATGGTTAATATATTAATGAGATATCTACTTAATTAATTTTGAATTAATTTTTATTATCAAAGATTTTTTTATTTATTATTAAAGCATAATATGCCATATTTTTTTATTATAATCAGGAGACTATAATTATAATAATTGTAATGAATTTTTGTTTGCTTATATTTAAATTTTATTTAATAATAATAAATTCAAAGAATTTGATTTGTACCAAAAACTATATTGGAATAATTAATTGATATTGTTTCTTAATATATTTATTAATTTAATAACAATTAAATTATTTACAATTATTTAATACGTTTTGATCTTATCTTTCCTTTATTAAGGCATTGTGAAGTTTTTTAACAATTTTTTAAAAATAATTAGGTTAATTATTAATTATTTTATCATATATAATATTATTTCACATTTTATTTTTAAATTTATTAAAATGATAAAATATAATAAATAAATCAAATATTAATTATTCTTTAATTTTAATAGATTTTTATAAAATATTAATAAATATTAAAATTAATATTTTATATATTTATTTTTATTAATAAAATAAAAAATAAATAAAATATAAAAAATGAATACATAAATAAATAAAAAATAGTATAAATCTAGTAAAGATAAATTATATTTCATATTAGGCACATTTTTAACTGATATTTAACATAACTAAATTTAAAAAAGAGATAATTTATCTAATACTGAAAGATCTTTTATTCCTTTTGTTAATGAAAGGGATAAATTGGGAAGATTAATATCTTAAAATGTAAATACTTCTCCAAAATAAGTAAGTTCTTTTTTATTAAAAAATAAAAATAAACTTAATAAAATAATTATCATTAAAAAAAATCCGGGTTAAATATTTTATTAGAAAATATAAATAATAATAATTTGAGAAAAAAAAATAAAGAAAATAAAGAATCTACAAAAAGCCTAGAATAAAATAAATATAGAGATACAATAAACTTTTAATCATAAAGATTTTTAGAATTTAAAAAAGTAAAATTTGATCATTTTAAATTGAAATCATTAAACAAAAATATTCATAATAATTCTAGCTTAAATTTTGAAAATAATCACATATAAAAAATGTTTTCAAAAAAAAAAAAACACTACATTTAAAGTAAAACAAAAATTGTTTTTTTTNTTTTT